AGGCGACGCCGGATAGTTAGTCACGTGACACACGTGATACCGCGTGATACTGCGTGATACTGTGACACGCCCACCGGGGTATGCTGCGAAATACCTCACCCATTTTGAATGGCTGCATCTGTACCTCAGCCCTGAGAGCTAAATAAGACAATTAAAACTATTCCTTTATGTTTCATTATAGTAGAACAGTTCTGATCCAGGTGACCCTGTATTGGATGAAATAGTTCAAAATTGGGTTGATGAATAGTAATAATAAGAAATAATATTGAGTGGCTATCGTTATTGTCAATGTTGTGAACCACAGAGGAACAATCCTAGGCATTTTTAGAATAATATCTAAAAGAGGCAAAATAAGTTTGCAAAAGCATGCTCAAATCTAGACTTATGCAAATAAATCACATTATTTATACAGTTTCTAAAGACTTAAGAAAACCTTTTTAATGTATGTGATAAGGTAATTAAGATCCTCAAAATCTCTACAATTTAAGGCTAAATCTTTTTCAGTCCTACTTTTTTATGATATGCTGAAATATTAATTTATTATTCTAGAAAATGTGAAATTTAAGTCTGTCACTGCAATTCTACAGTAATTATAAATCTTACTTACTGTAGTTACATTTGAATAGCACTTTTATCTGCAAACATCCCAGAGTGTTTTACATACAGGAGGGGAGGACTTAATCCACTTGACTGAGGTAGCCAAAAATTATATGGCAACAGGGATAACATGCAAGCTCCAAAAAGAATGTGCCCCAGGCCAATAATTTAACTCAGAATCCAAGAACTGTGAGGCAATAATACTAACACTGCCTCCATAAAATCTCATGATTTTATAAAGGCATTTATTCTGTATTGGTAATGTTAGATTTTTTTGGAATCCATATACAAGTACAGTACATGCCTTTTTTCAAAAAGATAAAGGATTTCAGTATTAAGACCTTCTGTATGAAATTAAATTGTTTTAGAAATAAAAACAATATATATTTTCCCATTGCTTTATTATTGTGTCTTAAACATTAAAATTCTAAAAAAAAAATTAAAATATCTTTCCTTTAATACACTGCCTGCATTGTACAAAAATAAACGAGAACCAGAGGGCAACATCCAAAGCAATATCTAAGACTTTTTTGTTGTGTTCATTCTGAGTGGGAAACTATTCATACAAAATACTTGTAGCAGTTAAGCAGTAGCAGTTATTCACAAGAAGAAAAAACAGAATACATAAATTAAGACTTCAAGATGTTTTGCAAGTGTCACTGAGTTTTTCTTAAATCTTTTTTCTGCTTTGAGCTGTTAATGAATCCCTTCTAATGACACTGTGTGTGAATTACTGTACATACAGTATATACTGTATAATGAGTGCTTTAAGTGCAGAAGGAAACACCGGCTTCAATGACTCTCATATTTTATGTTTGCTCTTATGCTTCCTGAATTCTTGTTTACCATCCTGTGTCTTCTTGGTTCTTCTCTCCTTTTGGTCTGTGTCCCATGTGTCTACTACCTGCCCCTCACGGACCCAGCTGTAAGACAGAAATTCTGAGAGCTGGTCTTGCTGGTCCTGTTGTGCATGTGTCCATTGGACAAAGCTGGAACTAGCTGGGCAGCTCTGCACAAACCAGGACAGGGAGGTCATTCTAGACTGCTGGGAGAAGGCATCAGGAAGATAAGACTGCTGTTGGGCAATCTGGGCATCCATGGAATATGGTTGGATTGGAGAACAAAACATCTGCAATAATGAAAAGATTATAAACATTTCCTTTTAAAGTATAAATTTGAATCACAACTGTTGATTCACGTAAACCACATAATTCTGCTTTTTAGAAATCAAGTTTAGTTTTGTTGACATGCATTTTAACTTGTGTGTCTTGCGCTTACCGGATTTTGCCAGCAGAGATTCTCTTGCGATAAACAGGTGCTGACTGCTGAACTGGGAAACACAGAAGCCTTCTGACAACAAACAGTCCTGCAAAACATGTCATATTCATTATGGCTGAATATGCTGAATATGGAATATGGATTACCAAAAAGGTGTCTCCAAATCCCCCATTTACAGAAGAAGAAAAGGAATTAAATTCATATGTATCTGTGGCCTTTATTTCTGATAAAACAATTGTCCAGGTTTTCTTAGTCTAAGATGCTTACTGAGTTGCCATAGCAAAGTTTCTGTTACAAAATTCACAAAGAATATCAACTCATCAAATTTACAGTAAGGTTCTTCTATCCTGTCAGTCTAGAGTAGTAGTTTTGTGTTTTAAAGACAACTTTGAAGCAAAACCCAGACTGTTTTTTTTTTTCTGAAGCCTTAAAGCTTTTAAATTTCCGTGCTTAACTGCTTTTCACTTGTTCAATCTATCAACTTTATTCATACTTCAAAAGTTTGGTTGGGTACAGTTACAACTCATCAACTCCTGAACTAATGGTATAATTTATAAATGTCACTCCAAAGGTAGGCCATATGGTGCAAATAATAATTCTTTACAATATCTTCATTGTAGAAGAAACCATTAGGTTATGGTGATGACACATTTTGAAATACCTCTTAATACAGCTTTCTTTTTATGTGATTTGTTTCTTATACAGTATATTCTCAAACTAATTTGGATCACTAGAGATTTAATTATACTTTGAACATTCTAGTCATTGCTTGTTGTTAAGACCTTAGATGTTTTCGGCCTTTTGAAATGCTATGCATAATTAAGAATTTCTGAGCTTTGAGCTGTGTTGTTCCATAACCTATTGTCACGCCCGACATCCCTCCCTAGAGGGCGCACCACTGCTCTCATTATTGTTCGTGTCATTTAGCTCTCCAGGTGTACCCTTTTAGTCTTATTATTTAAAGCCCAGCTCCTCCAGTCCTCGGGGCTCATCATTAGGGTAAGATGTCGCGAGGCCCGTCTAGCACCAGGAAACCCTACGTCCGTCTCCTGAGGGCATA